TAGACATTTATTTACATTTTATTATATAGGAAAATATAAAATTATGACCAATTATAATGCAGCATAGAGTACAAGCAATGTAATGAAAAATAAATAACAAATACTTATAATTTGCTAGTAGAAGTATCAATCTATTTGTAAAAAAAAAATCTCAAAGTTTATGATTTTGAACTTAATTTGTACCTGCAGCTTAGCCCCTAAATTCCTGTTTTATCCCATGGGAGCATTTAATTGTGATAAAAATATAACCTAAGTCAGCCCATACCCTGCCTGTATACCAAATTTCATGAAAATCCGTTCAGTAGTTTCAGAGTGATTGACAGACAAACATCCAGAAGGAAGAAACTTTCACATTTATACTATGTGTGTGATCATGAAAATCATAAATCAGTTTCTTAGAAATCACCAGTATGATAACTTTGTTACCATTTATTTAAATGCTTCTTTCTTTTTCCAGGAAAAGAAAGAGAGATTAGTAGAAGAAGTAAGAAGACATTTTGGTTTCAAACTGGACCCTCGTGATGAGAGGTTCCAGGAGATGCTGGCTAAGCGGGAGAAAGAACAGAAGAAACTTGAGAAGCAGGCCAGAAAAGAAGCTAAAGAGAAGGTCATGCTGGCTAAACTGCAGCAGAAGAATGTAGAGATAAGTGATACCAAGAATAAGTAACTTATTTTTAACTGTAGATTAATTATTTGTTAGAGTAATAAACTGTTATTGTAATATGTTAAATCATTTTAATTATTTCATGGCCTGAAATAAATAAATAAATAATAAAAAATAAATAAATTCTACTTTTGAAAATTGAGTTAACTACTCATAGGCCTGTTTATGTCTTCTGTTAAACACATGACATCACGCCTTTTATCCCCGAAGGGGTAGGCAAAGGTGCACATTATGCCACTGTACAATGTCACACCCACTTTTCACTACTTATGTTATGAGTCCCATGTAATAGGAGGTGACCGTATTGGCATTTTACTGGATACAATTCCAGACTAAATCCTACTACTGAGAATTTAAAAAAATCCAGTGCTACTTTGCCCGACCCGGGATTCGAACCCGAGACCCCTTGCCCGGCAGTCGAACTTGTCGACTCTGTTTTAATAACAAGCCAAAAATTTCCTTATGCTCCAAATAAGGTTAAGGCTGTTTTCAGATGTAAATAAAGAACCAGAAATATTGCCATTTAGTTTAGTACGTAGGTATGGACTGTATAGGAATAAAATAATAGATTATAACAAACAATTTTTTTAATCGTACATAAAACATGATATTCATAAACTCATAAATAAACATAAAAAACGTCACGAGCTGTCCTCGGACGAGGACGAATAGAGTGCCTCCCTCGGGTTGATGACGGTCGCCTGATGTACGGAGCGTTGTGTTATCTGTGGCGAACAAATCAGCGTATCCGAGTCGCTTGCCACGCTACTACAGGGGCTACTCTGCCCGTATATGTGCTGGGGACAAAATCAACTTTAATGGCATGCAAATACGAATGTTAAAAGATATATTGTGAATGCTTTTGTTGGGCCTGGCTGTAGGCTAATTAAATAGGCCCTAATAATAAACATAGCTTCTAATGACGTGACGAATAATAATCAAATCAGTATAGTAGTTAGTTCTTATCCTTTATAGCAGTGTTTTTCAATGTTTCTGATTTCGCGACCCCTTTACAAGTTGAGAAAATCTGGCGACCCCCTTGTGTCATAGAAAGACTAAGAAGTACTAAGAACTAATAAAATTTAATTAAGACTACATACGTTAATGATTTTTTTTTCTACTATTTTGGTACCTTTATCAATTATTCAGGTCTACTCTGCAAGAAGCTGCGAGAGTATTGAAAGTAAGTACGAGGTAAGTTGTTAAAGCTACGCGCGATATAACTCGTTGAGTACCGTCCGACCGGTGGTATCACCCAGGCCTGCACAATTGCGGCTTCCAGGAAAACCTCCCGGTCCAGCTATCTCAGCGCCCAACGTGGATCATATGGGGCCTGTCTGACCGGCGGGTCCGCGGACTCGGTGGAGACGTTTTTCTTTCAGTCGGCGACCCCCCGAGTAAGGCTTCGCGACCCCCCTAGGGGTCGCGACCCACAGTTTGAAAAACACTGCTTTATAGTATTTATTGCAGCAGTTTTTTCGTGCATTTTTGAGGAGTAAGTTCTTTTTACTTACTTTTTTATTAGGCTTCATTTGCACCGAAATCATGTCCTCCAATGTGTTTGTTTCCTCGCAGTGCGCGTCTCTTGTGTCGCCTATTTGTCTTTCAATCATTTCTGGTTTCTGCAAATGAGACCCAGGAAAAGTAATCAAATCTTTTTGACTTGTCGTTCGTACTAGTACTTCTTCGTTTCCCTTTCAAAAGTATGTGAAGAGCGTTGTTGACAATATACTTATTTAGGGAACAGAGAGTATAGTTCCCTAAGATCGGAAAAGGAGGATCCTCCAACCAGGCGAGGTGATCGTGCCTGGCGGGCTTTCTGCCCTAATTCGATTGTAAACTTCGCATGTGCGATGTAGGATTTTATGACGTCATCCGTTGACATGTGACATGTGTCGCCATACTTATCTCATAAAAATATTTGTTATTCTTCATTAAGGAGGGACTACATAACAGAAAAAGCAGATTACAGAAAATGGATACGAACCATTTCAACGGCGTCCCTTCGCTGCGAGTCTCCCAAAAGATGCGCGGACTTTGTCATCTTGTTGACCTTCATTTTGTCGTTGACTATCTTCTGGTGCGAGCTTTGCGCTCTCTTTGGAATTATGTTTACGTGTCTATCGCTATACTGTGCCTCTTCCACTTCCGTGATTTCCTCTGTTGGCTGTTCCTCTGGTGTATTCTGTTTCGACGTTTCGTGAAGACATTGTCTGCAAGATGGTCCGTAGAAATAAAATAATACTACTGAAGTGTAGCACAGCGTAAAAAGCAATAGTAAAAACCCCACTCATATAATACATACATAAATGAGTGGGGTGACACCAGAACTAACCCGTTAGGCACTAACCCGTAGCACTGATTATTCTTTATGAACGCGTATATATCCTTGAATGCCTGCTGTATGTAGGAGAGTGTCGTCTGATCTATTGGCACTGAACTAGACGAGCCTGAGCTGCTTGATAAGTCTCCTGATCTCGCACTGGCTTCGAATGAATGTTCTGAACCTGGAAAATTGGAAAATTGACTGAAAGTTCATTGTGCATGATCGTTATGACCACATATGACCATCAGATTAAGAGTAATTCTTTGAAAGGATACGTTAAGTGCAGTGATAATTTAACCTTCACGGTACCATGACTTTCAGAAAGCGGAATACTTCTCTGCCAGTCTTTTTTTTTGTAGGGGGAAAATCATCAATGACTTCCCCCGCCTTGGGTGAGTGTCAGACTCTTACTGATTAAAAACCAGCCCGTTCCTATGCATTGCGAGCCGGAGCCCCGGTAACCCGTTAAGTTCTCGGCGGCTCCGTATCGGCATCAGCCCTATTGGGCCCTATCTGTGGTGGTCTAATGGCTCTTTGATTACAACAGTTACCTGACGACGCCGCACAGTTGGCCCACAGTCGTATTTGCTGCTGTTTGAGCTGCTTCATTTGGTCTACTAATTGTAAATTCAGCTCTTCAAGCTGCTGCCGGTGTGAAATTTCTTCTTGTAGCTGCTCTTCTAATACTTCTGCATAATCTCTACAAATTAAAAGAACATGTAATACATCTTCGTCATAAATCTCTGATATAGTATTATAGTAGACTATCTGTCACCCGCGACTTCATCCGCGTAGAATTTTAAGACATAACTTTATTTTTGTTTCAATTTTCCAAAATAAAAGTAGCCTATGTTACTCCTTAGTAAATCAGCTAACTGCCAATAAAATTCCACTCACCATCGGTCCAGCCATTCCAGAGATTGGCTGGTACAAAGAGTCGGACAAAAATTAAAAAAAAATATTTGGTATAAGTATCGTATATATACTGTATTAATATGCATGTAGTAAAATGCGATTATTTTAATATTATAAACAAACACTCCAATTTTATTTATCTGTATAAATGACTAGCTTGTACCATCAACTTCGTACCCACAAAAAGGTACTTCATTTCTGTTTTTATCGTTCTCGTGAATATTTGGTTAATCCTCTCAGTGCCTCCCTACATCCCCCCAAGGAAAATACACGGCAAGTTTCAGCTTCGTAGTACCTTCGGGTGTGTGTAGTCTGTCAGTCAGTCACTCAATAACTTAAGAGTTTCTACATATTGTTTAATAAATTCGACCGTAAGGACACTTGTATGCACGTACTTGTCTTTTTTCGTTAAGTTTGTCTTCGTTGCATACTTAACGTTTGTAGATCTCGCGTTCGATCCCGGCGCTCGATCTCGGGATACTCCATTTCTGTAAATAGATAAATAAGTATTAAAAATATTGAAGGTCCTCTTCAACCCGTTTCCATCCACTACTTAGCTCAATCCATTCACCACTAAGCTTAATCTACAGCTCTTCGCATCCGAATGCTAACTTAGGAATAAGTGTAATTGTAACGATTTTTAACTCATTGAAAATGTTTAAACAACTTACTTGGATGTCACGGATTTCATGAACTTTTCACTAGAAGATCCACTGCTAGCAAGCCATGAAAACTGTAAAAAATGAAGAACTAATATCACTGCCAAGATTCGGCCTAGCATAAAGGGGTAGATAACATCAAGAAGAGATGTTATGTTTTAGGTCGTACCTTCCCTTCCATCCCCCTTTCGTTATCCCTAAGCACCGAGCGTACTTTGGACAGCGATTCACTGGTCACGTCTGGATTGTTCCTTATATCTAACACTACTAGAGTCTTGTTTGACGTCATCATCTGTTGGATTGCGGCCGATGTATTCTCCGTTATACCGCAGTTTTGAACGTCCAATGCTGCAACATTAATTAGCACAAATGTCACATGACTATCAACCGAAAGACGTCTACTAGTACATAGAGACTCTGGGCTATTACATCACGTAGAAGACAGTCTGCCATATCCATACACTATACGCACATGCTACCTGCGACTTCGACCAATTTGTCAGTCCACCGGTCTAATAAATAATACGAATCAAATGATCTGGCTAAGGAACGAAGAGAGGATCTTTGGCCTATTCAAAACAGTTATTCTCCATATGTGAACATACCTTTGATCCACAAATCATCCGCAAGGACGTCAAGTAATTTGCAAACACCGACGTCTCCTAACTGAGGGTTGGCACACAATGTGATTCTCCGTAATCCTGCCATCGCGTCTAGTTCAGGCAGTCGATACCGAAGTGTGTGTGACCAGTTCTCACTGTATCTGTGGATCTTTTGATACTGAAATAACGAAACAGGTAAGTATAAAAGTATGAGCTGCGCATTCACTATGAATCCTAAACATGTTCATGGCTGTATGAGCAGCTATACTACATACATAGCGGACATTTTCGAGACTGCTGTGATGAGGGGTGGATATTATTAATTTGGAAAAAGATTTTTCAGTCAGCTAATCGACTAAGAACTGATAAAGAAAAAAGGCAATAGTAAAAAGCCAAAGGTCGCAAATATTATGCAAACAAAGTCATGCTAAGTTATTTAAACTTTTTAATGTCCCAACATACCTTAACTAGTTCCGCGATGTATCCAGCTCCTAAAGGCGTCAGATCGCATCCTGACAGATCTAGCGTCAGAATGTTTGGTAGACACCTGATAGACTTGCAGACAGCCAAGCAGCCGGCATCCCCGATAAGACATCGTTGTAAGTGTAGATGTTGTAAAGAACTATTCGCTAAAAGAGCCTAGAACAGGTAAAGGCAATTTAGGTCAGAGATAGGTATTGAATGTGAATATCTTAAAAACATTATCTGTAAAAGCAATCCGTGTAAAGTGCGGAGCTTTGGAGGAGGACACTGGAGCAAAAAAAGCTTTACATCTTATTGAAACGTAAAATATTGTGAACAACTTAGTAACGTATCACGCCCCGTTTTAGCTCATTGACTACTGGAGGTCATCGTACCTGCAATATTCGGATGACATTCAAATGGTTTTAGTTGACCTTTGGGAGGACCTTAGATAGAAAACAGGTACCTATGGACATCGATTCTCCCTACACAGAATGAAAGTAAATCTTACCTCACACAAAGGATTTAAATATGGTATCCTCAGCGGTAGTCCTTCTAATAGTAAGGTCGTCAACAGTGTGGTATTAGAAAGTAGTTGTGCTGTAGCCTCCACTAAATTACTGAGCATGAAGTTTGTGAGTATCACACTTCGTTTGTTCACCGTTTTTGCTAGTCTCTCGCAGTCTATATGTTCTAATACTGTGGTGTCAGACAGGTCAATAGATTAAAGAATAATTGGAATTTGAATAAGATGGATTACGATTTCACCACTGTAGCCAGGTACTAAATACGGATTGGTGAAGAATAGACAAAAGGAAAGGGCAGATGTGGAACCCTGTTCAAAAAATAATTACAGAATGCAATAACTTTTCTATTATTCTTCTAAATAAAGAATTTCTATCGGGCATAGTGAATTATTTACTAAATATAATTAATTTGATCCTTGTTTGTTTGTTATTTAAACTTCGTGCCGTTTTTGATTGAAGTCCGCTACATGATTTCGTTGTGATGGACAAAGTCCAGTTATGGTGTGATTATGGATGGGCAAAGATTATTCTAGGCATATCCTATTTATGATTAATGTCTATAAATAAGTTTAGCAAGGTTATCAATCCATTGACCCTTTGATAGTTAGTTGGAACATACTAATTAATCAATTCTAGTTGGTAACGCTTTTTATATTTTTAATTCGAGATAGGACTACTGTCCTATCTGTTGATGTTGATAACCAATTGAAATTCACTTCGTATTCGTTTGAAAAATATCACAATAAATTCCAGCTTTTAATATCTCGAAAATTTTGAAAATAAGGTATCTATTTAGTAAGTAAATACACTTGTCAATAAAGTTACTAAAGCCTTACGAAATTACCAGTTTGTTAATCTGAGTTGTATCAACATTACCCGTTTTGACTTGCTGTCGACACTTTATTGAAACAGAATGCAGGCTCAAATCACAGCTGAGTGCATTTAAAATGGGTGGCCAGTCCGCATATTTGATTCTATCCACGCAGAAATCCAACACCTTGCCATTGCCAGAAGGTATGACATTGGTCAAAGGAGTAAGGTTCTGTAACTTGCAACACTTCACGTAACATTGGTGAAATATTCTGCTACTTTTGGTCTCACTCCCTTTGCCGACCATATTCAAAAAACGAGTAAAAAATACATTCAAATCACAAATAATACCGTGCAATACGGCGCGGTTCTTTGCTCGTAATATCGTTAAAATTTATCTGTTAAATAAATATGATTTTTGATGAATAATTGCTCAAAAATATAGTAAGAGGACAGTTTGAAATTAGAATATCGTGACATTGACGTTAGTTTATTTTTTCATGTCGCCTAATTTTGCTGCGACCGGTATCTCTAAACGTCACTTTTGATGCGTTTCGTGATAATGAAACATGGAACCTCATGCATGGCCCTCACGATTTCTAACTACAGAAATTCGAACGCAGCTTTTGCTTTTGACTTGCTAAAATCCATAAACTTACAAGGACGTTGTAAATTATATACCTACTCTTTGATTAAAGCTGAAAAAGGTATTGTTACTCTCATGTTGCTCTGGAAGAAACAGATCATACAGATCTTCCAGAGCAACAACAACAACAGCCGTCCAACTCTGGTCTAACTCTGTAGTTGGACCTCTTATAGAAACTACGACCAAGCTGCGACTTATTGTTCCTGAAAATGTAGCTCAAAGAAAAGAAAGGATGTACAAAAACAAATATATTTAAGTAATAATTTTTATTAAAAATATTTGTGACAGTCGTTTACAAACTTCCACCGACAACACAGTCACCAAGGACTAGATATCTGATTATAATCATTTGCGTTATTAATACTATTGGCAAATCAAGAAAAACATTAAATAAAATGCAATTGACTTCCACAAGCGACCGTAAAAGGCCTAAGTAACATTGCAATTATAGAAAAACAAACTTAATTACACGGACATAAGATGTATTTGTTTAAATGAAATACAAGAGACATGATTATAGATAGATACGCCGTTCATGTAAGTCAAAAGGAATCAGATATTTAATCAATGATGAGACCACTTAGTGACATCCAATCAAACTATTTACATATAAAATCTATTTACTAGACGATAACGTATGTATAATAACAATCAATACTTATTAAACCTTGTCTTTTCATATCAGGGTAAATAACAAAAAGTGGCGCTAGTGTGCAAAATTGCTACCACGGAAACAAAACGATTCTATGGTACCTAATTCTTTTATAGGTTAAAGACATTTTTGAAAAAATCATATTTGGTGCTAGAGTTATGTTAGTGTCGACGGATGTGTTTGAATTGAAAAAGTTGATTAAATTAACTGAAAACGAATAGAAATCCCTGATATGAGAGATAGTTAATGTTAATTAAGGTAACACACGGTAACATTGTTAAGGCACTTACAATAAGACTTATCAACGAAAGTCTAACGCTATACTCAAAATCTTTTATTATTTCAGGTCACAAACTGTTGTACAGAGAGCGTATATATTTTCTTTAGTGTGAAGACCCTATTCCAAAAGTTATCGGCTAATAACAAATTAATATTTAAATTATTATTCTAAATCTTAAAAGAAGATAATAACTTTCAATAATATTGATATCACATTAGAGTTACAAACGATGTGATGAATTGAGAATTATATTTGAATTTATTACTAAGTGCGATTAATATTTCGTGTAGCTGTCTTTTCGAAGAACTTTGATTAATTAATTCTATCAACAGATGGCGTTAAAAAGAAGTGCTTAATTTTGTTAACTCGATGTCTCAGTTCACCACATCAAAAGGTATTGTAAAAAAAATAAATTAAAACAAGTCTGCACTGTCACCGAAAATGCGATACATAAGATTTTTTTTAGTCATACAATATGAATTTTTATAATGAAACTGAACATAAAATCTTTCAGAATCGTATATTTACGTATGGAGTGAAAAATAATCGGAACACGAAGTAATTAAACTGGGAAATGAAAAATTTGGTAACAAATTAAATTTAAAAAGCCTCGAGTAACAGTTAATAGGAAAATCCCAGTTCATGAAATAAAATCTTAATTTTTTTTAGTGGATGACAAAAAAATGACAACGTTTTCAGTTATCTTTCATGTTAGATCTCAGGTACTCTCTTATGTAGCCCATACTAAGAATTAGGAAAAAGCCACACGGCATGTATTAAACAAACTTAAACCTCAAGCAAACTGATATACAGTCGAAAATAGCATAAAAAGAATCGGATGTTATTAAAAGTCAATCTGTTTAGTATAATAATTTTATATATATGTTTTTGGGGCTTTCAACATGTTTAGACTACTTTAAAAAATGTATAAATATTGTATGACCATTTTAATTAATTATTCCTGTAATATAATTGTTGACATAATACCTAGAGTACAGTAAACACCTATTAAATATGTACACATTTGTGTTAGATTTTGTAGATTTTTTGCATTATAACGAGATCAGTACTTTATTCAGTACGTAGCCAGGATGGACTTACTTTAAACGTAGCCTCAGACCCAAGATTTTTGACGAATGTATCGTTTTTTAAAAGGAAAATAAAATAAAAATACAACTAAAAAAAAATAATAATAAATAAGTACAAATTATCGCTGCAAAAGGTTCTAGCGGGATCGTATCAACTCTATGCGTAAAAAAAAGCTTCGTGTGCGACGTTTGAAAATGAATCGACAGTAATACCGGCCAGTAACACATTGTCAAATATCTTGAAACTTGGTTTTTTAATAGTTATTTTAAGTTTTTTCATCACTGGCTTTTTTGGTGCTATAGCATACATATAAAACGTGATCGTATAAGAACATTTATAGTAACTAATTAACCTATAGACAATTCAACCAATTTTGTACTTTATTCAGATGACATTGAAAGAAAATGAAAGCTGTCACTTCAAGCGAATTTTTAAAAGCTTATTACTAAGCAATAGAACTCAAAATCGGTTGCATTATCTAGAAAATGACATATGACAAGGTGAAAAGCCCTGCAATAAGTACATAAGATCATACCACGCATTATAACCGTGTATCTAATAAAGTATATCTAATAGAGATAAACAGAAAGTTACATGTCCGATATTATTTCATTATCGTGTTGTCATGAGAAAGAAAGTAGAAGACACACTTCAATAAAGGAACCTTATTACAAGACGTTAAAGTTGAAATTTGACTTTGTGTAAGCTTCAGTCAGCTGTAGCGATGTCGAATACGATCACGTTTTCTTAACAAATTTCGAAATGATTAAAATATTATGTATACGATATGTGTTATATCTAAATTAGTTAGATTAATGTTGACTGACCTTTTGACCTCTAGACACGCGTACAGAGTACATTTTTAAAAAGATTATCGCGTAACTTCATGTATTATAAGATATGTAGATTAAAATCATTACTAGCTTAAGATTAGATTTAATCAAAATTGTGTAGCTTTTACTTCAAAAATATTTCTAACCGTGGCCGAATTGGAATGAGATGATTTTGACAGTTTGTTTCAGTCGTCTGACTTTATATTCAGTTTATATTTTAGTAATTTTAAATGATTTTCAGAAATTTGGAACCAAAACTTCAACTTATTACAAAATTTACTTTAAAACAGAATAAATACATTAAAAAGAAATATAACTCATAACAAATTAAGTTTTCCCGACTTGATGCTCAAAATCGCCTACAAAAACGTTCTACAAGTCAAAAGATCAACCACAAATAATGATACTAAGCTAGTTCAATGTACGGCCCTCTCCGATCCGACTCTGGCTGGTCTCCATCACTGTCGGAAGCAGACATCGACCTCCTTGCGTTCCATTCACTCTCTGGATCAGAGAATATATTCCTGTCGGCTAAAGCATCGTCGTCCATCGCTTCCATATCCAGGTCGTCTGTTAAAGAAGATAAAATAATAATTTTATTATAATGTTAAGAGATTACATCGATTAAAATTATAATAGCAATAAGATTGAAGATTTGAAAGTTTTGACATAAACCCTGAATCAATCACAGCTTGAAAAATAAAACCAAAGCGATAAAAAAGCAGTTTTTTAAGATCTGGTGACGACTAAAGAGATTTTGTAATCATTGAATGGATTTATATATTTAAAAGTGTATCATTAATTCTGGTAAAACTGAAACTCAAGTAACAATGAAATTGAGGTGTGAAAAAGAGATGGTACATCATAAATCTAACAATAGTCCAAATTATGGACTACAAGCAAGAGGACAAATAGAGAAAGATATCAACATAAAGTTGAATAAAATCTATACACAAGCAATAAAGGATAAAGCACTTGAAGAAACCTGCCTAAGTGAAGAAAGGGTGACTAAAGTCAAGAAGAAATTTGCCTTTTGCAGTTGTCCAACACCTACATGCACATGCAACTTACTTCTGAGAGGTGACGAAATCGCGAATACTATGATCTGAGGATGAAACATGATTGCAATGTATAAATGAGATTATAATGGTGAAAATTGGATAACGATATCAAATATTACAATGATATAATATGGACTTGAGCGATGAACCCTTAGTATCCAGCAACTGACTCAGGTCAATATTAACTTTGTAATCAAATTGCATGTTTCACTTTGATTGAGTATTCTGACATTCTGCATAATGCGTGTTTGATGCGTGTTGTGAGAGTGAATCGAAAGATAATGATAATGTTATGTAATATTGCAAATCTCTTCATATCAACAACTAGTAGATTTATATTATTAGACCTTGTGTATAAAATAAAAGTACGGGAAGAACGCCGAACAAAGAAACACATTATGATAATTAGCACACTTACCCTAGAAAAATCTATATGAACATCATCACGACTTTTATCCCCGAAGAGGTAGGCAGAGGTACTCATTACAGCACTTAATGCCACTTATTAGTCCCATTTAAAGGGGGTGAGCCTATATACCAGGCACAATTCTTAAAATCTATATTATAGTTTTATTTCCCTAATCCGGTATCGAGATAGAAATGATCTTATTGTAGCCTGGACCAAGGAGTCGCTGGACTCTTTCTTGGCTGTTCCTCATAAGTAAAATACTAAATATGGCACTAACCGTTGTCAGCGATGAGTTCAGCGCTCCAGTCGTTGTCGAACTCAAGCTGTTTGTTGACGTCGCGTTCAGTGGGCGACTGCACCGCGTCCGTGTCCGCGTCAGTCACGTCGTATATCTCCGTCATTTTCATCTGGAATACAAATTATTTATTAGTTTTTTTTATTTTATACTAGCTTTCACCCGCGGCTTCGCTCGCGTCACAAAAGCATAACAAGTAGCCTATGTGACATATATACACACAGCGCCATCTATACCAATAATGTCGTTTTCCCTCGAAAATATAATTTTTTTCCGGGATAAAAAGTACCCTATTATTTAATCCAGACTTCTAACTTTACGTCTGCAAAAATTCAAAGCAATCGGTTTAGTAGTTAC